CGTTATCAAGATATATGAGAAGGAAACAACCTGGAAACGGTTTAAATCGATAAACTGACGACCAGACTACAGACTACAACTTTTATTCTGAGATTACAGACTACAGGAAAACCACTAGGCGAACGTCCCAGTTTCGAGTCCCGCCGGCGGCCAACCCTTTTGTTTTTTGAAAAATTAACCAAGATTTCGATGAAAATCGCTAAAGTGGCGGTCAGACTACAGACTACAACATTCGATACCTTAACAGCTGGCAGCGTAATCGAGCTAATCGCCATACAAAACGAGTACTCCTCCATGAAGTCGCAGGGCGTCTGAAAATACAATCTCAAATTTCCTCTGCTAATTCCCAATGCCTACCGTACTCCTCGCCAGCACGGCTAGTCGTAAAGAGGCGCGTAGCGTAGTGAAGGCGGTGCGGAATAGCATCCCAACTACGACGTTTAGCAACAGGATTTGAAGGTGGATGTGGAGGTGCTAAAAATTGTTTTAATTCGAAAACAATGACTGTAGTCTGTCGTCTGGATGCCAATTTAGTCATTACTATCGAACAATGGATTCAATTTCCAAAAAGTAAAATGTTTGACGTCGCCGGGATTCGAACCCGGGTCATGCGCCTGATAGCTTTGTCGTAGTTTGTAGCCCGGAACTAAGGCATGTAGTTTGTAGGCTGGCTGTCAAATTAGCACTTCTTATCGAAAAACAAGTGCAATTTTCAAAAAGCAAAAAGTTGGGCGCCGCCGGGGTTCGAACTGCATCGTTCGCCTGGCAGCCTTTTTGTAGTCTGTAGCCCAAAAATAAGCGTTGTATCTGGTAGTCTGGCTGCCAGTTTCGTCAACTAACCGGATTCGCAAGCATTTTGCCCATCACATAGATACAGGAGATCATTATTATGACGTTGATGCAGACGAGATAGATGAATATCGGGGCCACTGTCTGGAAAGCGTAGTCTGTAGCCTCAGTGTAAAGATTGCACTTTGTAGCCCACCTACCAGTTTAAGAATTTCCAAAAGAATTACCGCTCTAGCTAAAACTACCAAAAAGTTAGCCTCGTTCGAAAGTTGCGGAAATCCAATTTTTCCTGATTTCCGCTTGATACCTGTTGACATTTGGGGGTACTGTAGATGATTGTTATGATCTATTCGAAAGAGGAGAATGAGTTCTATCACATCCCAACACTATCATCTACCGTATACCGATATATAGCCATTTAAAGGGGTCAGAACGCCCCAAAATCGCGAATTTCGCATTTTCTACGAAGCGTTCCCTTGACGAGGTGTACTGTAGCTCTTTTTAGTGTTTGTAGTCTATGATCTGACGGGCAGTGTAGCGATTCCAATCCAAAAACCAGGAAATTTTGAACACGGAAAATTTGGATGTTTCATAAAAAAAGGGATTTTACGGCTTCCAATCTGGTTCAATTGGCATGTGGTATGTCTGAGTAACTAAGTCAACTTTTAGCGATTGAACTTTGTAGTCTGGATGCCAGTTTATTAATTCCCACCAAAAATTGGCTAAATTTCCCACCTGGGTGACGCTCAGCGCCAGGGAGCAGTTGTCCATTCACCGCAACACCTAAAATACTGAATCGGAATTTTGATAGGAATTCCAGTAGCATAGATCATTGGGGAATCACCAATTTGCCTACTGGCGGCCATTCTCGGCAAAATTGGGGGTTTTGGTGTGAACCGTACGTTTTTTATATCATTACGACCACAGAAAAGTTATTTCCAAATTACAGCTTCCGGGGCCTACTTTGGCCCCAAAATCAGCTTTACATTGATTGGGTTTTGTTTTTATTCTCTAGCCTGGCTGTCAGTGGAGTGATTCCAATCGAAAAATAACTGGAAATTCAAAAAGCAAAAAGTTCGTCACGGGCGGGGCTCGAACCCGGGTCATGCGACTAGCATCTTTTCTGCAGTCTGTAACATCAAGGTTGAAGTTGTATTTCGTAGTCTGCTAAGCAGCTTAGCGATTCTCAAAAGAATTAGGGATCAAGCTACAGACTACAAAAAGTTAGACCCATTCGAAAAACCCGACAATCTCGATTTTTCCGATTTTCCGCGTGATTCCTGTTGACATTTGGGGGTACTGTAGATGATTGTTATGATCTATTCGAAAGAGGAGCATGAGTTCTATCACATCCCAACACTATCATCTACCCTATCCCTATATCTAGCCATTTAAAGGGGGCAGAACACTCCAAAAATCGCCACTTTGGCACTTTTTCGAAAAACTGGCAAAAAAATCGCCAAGGCAGGCTAGCAGAGATTCCTTGTGAATCTCTGATCAAGCTGGCTTCCAAGGTGAACGTTGGACCCGAAAAGGCGGCTTTAGAATTGCTTAGATGCCTATGGGGGTATGAAAGGAAAGAATAGGCCGGGCAGGCAGTGTGTGCCCCCGGAAATGGACGCGAATTCGGAAAATCGGAGGGCAAACGGATGGGGCAGGTTGGGTTTGGCAATTGTGGTTTGTGGTCTGCCAACCAGTTTAGCGATTGGGATCGAAAAAATACTTTTATTTAAAGCCAGCCAGGGGAGACCGGCGGCGCGAAATAGGAACCCCGTTTCCCTTGGCCAGATCCCGGCACGATTTTCCACGATTTTCCCGGACTTTTCGGATCGAAATAAGTCTAGGAGAGGCTTGCGCTAGTCGGGAAATTTTAGAAAATTAGAAACGGCAAAAAATGTTTCGATATCTTTTGGCATTTGTTCAGGAAAAATATCGATAATGAGGGAAGTTGATTTTGGTAATTACGACGTGGATTCAGATTCGTGATTCCGTTTCTAATTTCGTATTTGTACTAAAAACAGTTACGCCGCGTGCAAATAAATAAAATGTGTTCGCCGACCACATAAATCGGGCCAAAAAAATGGCATTTTCCGCCGGGGGCGGAAATGTGCAATTTTCCCTCAGAAATCCATGATTCCGACCCGGGCGCCGTTTAGAAAATATTTTCTGCGTTAGTTGTGAGTGGAATCGCTTAACTGTCACCCTGGCTGCAGGCTCTATCGCAAAAATACAGACTACAAAAAAATATCAGCCCAACGACCCGGGTTCGAACCCACACCCGGGAACAACTTTTTGCTTTTTGAAATTTTTTCAAGTTTTCGATTGAAGCGCTTTTAACTGCCCTCCAGACTACAGAATACAACGTTGGCTTTGGGACTACAGACTACAGAAAAGCTACTAGGCGGACCTCCCGGGTTCGATTCCGGCGCTGGTCTAACTTTTTGCTTTTTGAAATCTACATTCGTTCCTTGTCTGGAATAGCTAAACTGGCAGCCAGACTACAGACTACAATCCTGATTGTTGTGCTAGAGACGAGAAACAAGGTACTGGGCGCACCTCCCTGGTTCGACCCCCCGCCGGCGTCAAACTTTTGATTTTTGAAACTTTGAGTCCGAAGTTCGGTGAGCAATGAAACGTGGCGATACGGGGATCTTCGTCATTTGGAATGCTGCGGAAAACGGGAAGAGAAAGGTGAGAAAGGCGCTGGAAAAGTACGCCGGACACCTAATTACGCGGTGCGGTAATTAATTATTTTTCGTACTCGTGGATTCGTACTCGACCTGGCCGCGCCTTTTTAATTAAATGTCGCAGAACAAAAATGAATTAAATAAACTCCGTAAAAAAACGAAATTTTCAAAATTTAAAGTATGCAAAAAATTCAAAACTTAGCAAACGGAAAGGAGAGAAATTGTAAATAGCAAAACGCGGAAAACGACGATGAAAAACGAAACATCAAAAATAATCATCACCCTCAAAAAATGACCAAAATTCCGCAAAAATACTCGGCACGTAATTGGGGGGTATTTTTGTGGAACTTCCCGCGCAAATTTTCCACTTCCCCCACGGCCAATTAGGGGCGCAGATGTTTTGGCCCGATTTTTGAAGGCGCAAAAAATCAAATGAACGACGAATAATTGCAAAAATAATATTAAAAAAAACTAATTTGGAAGCTAAAATCGGAGTTTAAATAATGACCAAAAATCCTGAGATCGGCCTCTCAATTACGCGATGTAATCCTGCCTTCATCAGAACTTGAGCGTTTCCTAAATCGCCTCCGCTAGGCTGCCTGGCTTCTGAAATTACGAAAAAAAATGCTACAAAATCCTTTCTTTTAGATAAACAATGAGAATTAAATTTCTATTTTTGTCAGCAACCCAAATATTTTAAAGTTTTCAATAATTTCAGAAAAAAATGTTTAAAAAATTTGTATCGCCGTGTACAAAACGAAAGTGACAATCGGTAGCCGCGGCCAGCAGCAAAATTACACAAAACCTCAAGCACATTTCTAGGCATTCCGCTACAAATAAAAAACTAATAACTCACACTAATACGAATAATTAAAATTAAATACGCAATAAAATGTACATTTAGTTCTTACATTTAATTCTGCGTTCATTGGCCGGTTAAAATAAAGCGGCGCAATCAAAAAATTTCGACAAAAATAGTGTTCCAAAATATTGCCCACTTGATCGGGGCTTTGATCGGATAATATCTTTAGATGCTGAAAGACCCGTTACTGTTTTTCAAAAGGTTTTTACTTATATAAAGCCTATTTTTTCAACAATTTTTGTTGTTTTGTTGCTTAATTTGCTGGTTTTTCATTAGTGAATCAATTGTTCATAAAAAAACTTTCGCCTACGGCGCGTTTCTGCCGTGTTTTCACACGAATTTGAGTGTAGCGAATGCTTTTTTGCTATTTTTTTGCCTGCGGCGCTATTATTGACGCGGTTTTCGGATGTTTTAAAGGTGGCGACGGGGGGGAAGGTCGCCAAAATTTTGCCCCCCGCCCCGGAAATTTCGGTTCCGCCACGGGCCTGGTTGCAGCGAAAGTACGATAATGTCAACATTTCCAGTTTATTAAAAAACAAAACAGTATTTGAAAAAATGTTTCATAAAATTTTAAAGCCAGAAATTTTTTCGAGCTCCTTGATGTGTTGTCTTCTTTAGTAAGTTAAAACAAGAAAAATTGAAAAATTTATTGGGTAAATTCAGAAAAATTCGACGTCAATATGATGTTTGTTGAAGGGGTCCGGGGTGCCGGGGGATACGGTATGCTGGGTGGATAAGCCCAATTTGGCCATCTCGTACTGTAGCACCTTCTCGAGCTCGTAGCCCAGCTTCACCTGCAAAACCATATATTTCATTACAAAAATTATAGCAATTATTTAGTTATGGTAAATTTTAATATATTTAATTATGCTAATTTAATAAAAGTATAGTAATTTGCTGAAGCCCATAGACTAAATATTTATCACAGAGAAACCCAAAGCCCTCACAACAGGAATTGCTTGATTTCCCCGTTAATTATTTTTGTCAATTTTTGAAACATTAATTTGCGTTATCGATTTTGCTTGGTTTTTCCGTATTTTTTATACCACTGATGCACTAACGGGAATTAATAGAGCGCAAACTCCAAACGTCAAACTACGACCGGGTGAAACATGAATTTTTCGAGAGTCCAGTTTTTCCTAGGTTACTCCTGATCAGTCATTACATGTAAAGGCGACGCGTTGTGTGTGCGAAACCAAACGAACCGTCGGTACACTAATCGATTTTCCCGTTGCTGCTTGTTGTCGATTTTTGAAACATTAATTTGTGTTCCCGATTTCGCTCGGGTTTTTCCTGCTTCACGCCCAGAATTTGAGGGAAGGGAATAAGGGCCTAGGCAACGCGACGCCCCCGATTCGTCAAGAAAATATATGGGACCCAAACTTTAAAGCCATATAACTTTAAAACTAAACGGAATATTAAAAAAAGCGATTTCCAACTTTGTAGAACGGGACACGGCGATTCCAATGATACCAAGCCACAGGTCCGTGCATCCACCCGAAATCCGCGTGGATTCCACCTGGAATTCGGGTGGAACGCATGGAAATCGGGTGGAAAACGGGTGGACGCAGTGGAAATCGAGTGGAAACACGACGCAACGCGGGCCCCACGCGTCGCGGCAAATGGAAATCGAGTGGAAACCGAGTGGATCCACTTGGTTTCCGCTCAATTTCCATGCGTTCCACCCGGAATCCACTCGATTTCCATGTGGAATCCACTCGCGTACGCTCGTGGAATTCCCCTCGATCCCCTCGGGGATTCCGAGTGGATTTCGGGTGGATGCACTGACCTGTGCACTAAGAAAACTGAATTCAAAAAGTATCGAAACGAAGGCGTTTTTGTTGACGACTTTGTGAAAAGTGCTTTTTCGAAGGGCTAACTTGCTGTATTTGGTATCATTCGAACCGCAAAATCCTACTCAGCAATAATTTTATATTGGGTTTTCAATATTAAGCCGGTTTGAAAAAGTTATAAGAACTTAAAAACTTAAACTTTTCGCGTTTTTAGCCTGTTTGATTGGCCGTGGCTTATTACCGCAATATTACTGGTGCATCAATGATCTTTGCTATAAAATTGCGAATGCTCAACAACTGCTATAGAAAAAAGGATTACTCGATTTTCCCCTTGCTGATATTTGGCCATTTTTGGAACATTTGATTTTATCTTCTGGATTCCGAATAGATGTTACCGTATTATTTTTAATGTTAATTAATACAGGGTACAGAAAGAATTGCTTAAGATCACATAGGGTCGACGCTTCATTTTTGCTATACAGGGTGTCCCAAAAAAAAAGACCCCCCTCTAGCGGTCGGCAGTTTCGGTTTTTCGGCCAATTTTTTTCGGGACAAGCCTAAATTATTTTATGAATAGCGCATGCGTTTCCAAATGGTTTTTAACTATTCCTGAGCATAAAACTACACACATTTTCATGAAAAAATTTAATTTTAGGCCGAAAAATTGTATAGAACCTTTAGGATTAGCGGGGGGGGGGGGAAAGACTCAAAATGACCAATTTTCGACTTTTTCAAACATTTTTCTAATTTTTTGGAAGGTTTTTCAACTTTAAATATACTTAAAATTTACTAAAAACAATTCGAAAACACTTTATATTTGATTACTAGGTCAACCGGGAAAACCAGGAAAAAATTTGGTTCCCCCCGGACCCGAATTTCCTTTGTCCGTCCTTTTAAAATTCAATTCACAAATTCACAAAACACGAACCTGATTGGCGACAAACGTAGCGAAGATGTGCCAGGCCTCGGTGGTGATCGGGCAGTTGTTGTTATTAATATTATTCAAATTTTTGAGAGAATTCGGAAATGGCGGCAGAAATGAGGGGGCGGGCCCCCGGATTGGCGGCGAATCCGAATCCGACGAGTTGTGCGGGGGAGTGCCTGGAAAAACCGCTTTGTTTTTGAATTTTTGATGACGAATCAAGCTATAAACCGGAAGTTCATAAAATTCCGGGAATTCATAAAAATTTCAAAAATTTCAAAAATTGTGTTGCAAAAATTTATCAATATCCCAAAAATTTTTTGGACTTATTCTTTTGAGCTTATTGGCGGTTCTTGCTTTCGATAGATAAAATTGAAAACAATAGTTATGCTGCGGGTTTAGTAAAAATATCAGTTATGACATTACGGTATCGATCCACCAGCTTCAGCATTCAAAAACTCAGAACTTAAAACAAATAAAAAATTTAAAAATATATTCCAAAATTTTATGTTTCGAAAATCCCGAAAGAGCCCGAAGTTTTGCCTTTGCTGTTAAGCCCGCAGCGTGTTTAAGGCACCGAATTTGAAAATTTTTAAGACCAATGTTTCAAAACTTCTATGATTAACCCAAATTGAATTTTTGGTAATGATTTGTGGGTCCTACAGCCAAAAATATACAGGGTGCGTCGGAAAAAAAGTGAAGTTTGGGTCAAAATATCTCGCGAACGGAAACGAATCGGACCATGGTTACCTTGCCAGAATGCTTAAATATGCTGGGCATGAAGAAATAACACAAGTTGTTTTTTAAGATTTTTGAAAAGTATTCAACATTTTTGAAAAAAGTAAAAAACTCTGAAGTCGAAAATCATGGAACTTTTCAGGAGTTAGGGAGACTTCAAGGGTATCAAAATGAAGCCTCCGGAGTGCGCTTTTTCTGGGAATTCTATGTTTCAAACGTACACAAATCTTTCCATTTTCATGCTGCCGCAATCCTCTGGCAGCGGAAACTGGTAATAAAACAGCTAAACCTCGTAAATTTGGCAATAATCTTTTAGGAAATAGATTTAAAAAACAAAAACCATCAAAAAAAGCAAAAATCACTGCGCAATTGCAAGAGGATTTGTTGCAAGATGACACCACTTTTGCCTTTCTAGAAATTTTAAGTTTCAAAAATCTTTAAACCCTGATCGTGCGGGATCAAAGCAGTTATGAACTTAGTAAATTAAAATACTTTCCGATATTAAACGCTTATTAACATTACATTAAAATTAAGAAATAGCTGTTTTATCATGCCGGCAAACCACAGAATTTCGAAGATTTTCTAATTCTATGTTTCAAAAATGTAGAAATGTCGGATGATAGACTCGTTGTTTAGTGCAAGATCCTCCGAAATGCCAAAAATCTATTAGGTTTTCTTATATTCTTTGGTCGTTTTGCTTTCGCTTTTTCTGAATAGCGACACTAAATAGCGATCTGGGTTAGAAAAGTGATTTTTCGAGGAATTTGTTGTTTCAAAAATACACAATTATTTCCGTCGTCACGGTACGACAATTCACGACGGTTTTTCAGGACTAAATTTGCTCTTGCGTTTCTTCTTTTTACTTTACTTTCTTTTACTTTTTTTATATATACTCACTTTTGAAAAAAAATTCAGAACATTTTACCAAAAATTGCGAAAAAAGGTGTTTCAAGCATTCGTAAATATCATGAAATACTAATCGGCTACTTTTAATGCAGGCTTACCCGTAGTCAAAATTCCGACATTTTATATAAAATCGCGTTTTTCCATTATTTTTGGAGTTTCTAGATCAAAATTAAAATATCTTAAATATTCAAAACGCGCAGACAAAATATAAAATTAAAAATAAAAATAATAGATAGAATTTTTTTGTTTTAAAATTTCATGTTTCAAACTAAATGCGATAAAGCCCAAAATTTAGTCAGATAATTAAAAGGCCGTCCGCCGGTCACTCGAACAGCCCCCATGATGCCTTGGCACAGTTTTTTCGTCCCCGTTTTTTTGATGCCATGTGAAAGAGCATGGTCGAATTAGTAGTGTGGTGCTATTTTGAGATTTTTAAAAGTTAATTTTCTATGTTTAAATGGGTGTTAAAGTTGGAAACCTTGAAAAATTATCTCGAGAACTACCGAACCAAATTGCTCCTAGATTTCAGACAATACCTAATTTGGGACGCTGATCATTTTTGTAATACATTGTAAATCACGAAACCGGCCGGAACATAGGAATACGGCGCACATAGAAAGGTTTTTCGCAATTTTCTATTTAATGGGTCTGCGCCGCCACTCTAGAAATACCCTTAAAAGATGCGCGCTTGAATTCTACGTCGAATCATGTACTTTTCAGCGTGGCGCCAGATACCCATTAAATCGAAAAAATGACATTTTTAAAAAGAACAAAAATGACTCGAAAACCTAAAAAATATTTTATTTTGGCAATCAGCGAATTTGAATCGACTCTAAAGGAGAAGGCAAGTCGATTGCAAAAAAGAGCAAAAAAGAAATATCTTTTCTACGCGAAATTGGGCTCGGTGGGGAATCGAACCCGCGATGGTCCGCCTGGGGGCACTGGGGAAAGCCACTAGTGGGCGCCGCCAACTCCCCAGGCGAACGACCCGAGTTCAATCCCAGCCCCCTTTTAGAAATCGAATTTCTTTTTGCTCTTTTTTGCAATCGCTCTGTTTTGGTCTCTAGATACGAAAAACTGCCTTTCCTTTCCGGACGGCGCAATTTTTTTCTGTTCGGCGTCTTTAAAAGCGATTTTTCGATTTAATGGGTATCTGGCGCCACGCTGAAAAGTACATGATTCGACGTAGAATTCAAGCGCGCATCTTTTAAGGGTATTTCTAGAGTGGCGGCGCAGACCCATTAAATAGAAAATTGCGAAAAACCTTTCTATGTGCGCCGTATTCCTATGTTCCGGCCGGTTTCGTGATTTACAATGTATTACAAAAATGATCAGCGTCCCAAATTAGGTATTGTCTGAAATCTAGGAGCAATTTGGTTCGGTAGTTCTCGAGATAATTTTTCAAGGTTTCCAACTTTAACACCCATTTAAACATAGAAAATTAACTTTTAAAAATCTCAAAATAGCACCACACTACTAATTCGACCATGCTCTTTCACATGGCATCAAAAAAACGGGGACGAAAAAAACTGTGACAAGGCTTGTTCGGGTCTCTGGCAAACGGCCTTTTAAGCTCAATAAGGCGACCAATGAAAAACTTTTAATTGCGTTAAATTTAATTTAATTTAACAAATTTACAAACCTCTCAGCGAATTCGAGCACAACGCCCCGCTGCCATTGACCCGGTACATCGACGAGTCGGAGTGCCGACTCGAAAACCCGCTGCTTTTCGCCGGTCTAAAAAAAGATAGTGGTTATAATCTTTATTTTTGCTAATAGAATTACAAAATTAAAATCATATTTAATTTTTCAAAATAAAACTGTGTAATTGGCGTTTTTTGACCACTTTTTCTTTTTGAATTTTTTTTGTATTGGCCAGTTGATGCAACACCTTTTTAATTTTGACATTATTTTAAAATTGTATAAATTCTTAATTTAATTTATTTTAAATTTTAAATCGCGATGTTCGCAAAAAAGGCGCTAGCATTGTTTCTTTGGGGATATCTGGAAAAATAACGCGCTCATAAGAAAGCAAAATTAACGAATCGAAATTTTATAAGCATTCGTTGAAGCGTAAACCATTTTTTTTAAATTAGGATTGTTAGATTAAAGTTTAACCAAACCACACTTTTTTGCAAAAAAATGAGAAATTGGCGGCAGTAGACGAATGGACTCATATTCGCGAAATTTCACAATTTTTGACGTTTTTACATTCACGATTTGTGAAAGATATTTTTTTCTTTGTGAATCCCGATTTTCCTAGACATCGGAAAGCTGTTAATCAAATGTTAATAAAACTGTTAATCAAAAGGAAAATTGTAAATTATAAATTTATTGAATTTATTTTGAAACAGTATGGTACGTTTGAAATGTAATAATTTTTAATTAACGAAATTAACGCGAAAGTTTATTGAGCAATTGCCCTTTCCTTATGATTGTTCAAATCAAAGAGTGCCGGGATTTTAATTGTTCTGAAACAGATATTTCTAAAAATTTTTGTTAAACATCTCCTTGAAAGCCGTTTCTGCCGTATTTAATTTTAGATTTCAGAATCAATCGGAATAAGGATCCAAAACACACTTTTTGGTCTGGCCGCTCCTAAAGAAAACAAATAAAACGCATCAAAAACACAAAATAACTAAATATTAAAAATAAAATAATTTCGCCTACTCCCCTACAGCCCATTAACCGGATCGATCTATTTTTATATCTCAGTTTTTGTAAAACATATATTTTCCATTTATTGGGAAAAATCGGTTAGGCTGGCAGATATGATTTAGGAATTTTGTTTCATTTATTTGGATTTATATTTTATTCATTTCGTATATCCTTTATATATATAAAAATTCCTATATATAAAAAAATAGTGTTTGTGTGTGTGTGTGTGTGTGTGCATTTGCATGCAACTTCCGTCCGTATGTTCCAGTCGTATCTCAATAAAGGAAGTAGTTAAGGGTATGCCTGACACATCATTAGGAGCGTAATGGTCATGACACCACTGCACACCTATCAGATTTTTGAAAATCAGCTGTTTTCAATATTAAAATTAGGTTTTTGTGAAAATCACGCCCGACCTCTTTGTTAGGAATCAATTAGCATACGCCGGAAGTGGAGAGCGTCCATATAAAGGCGGGAGGGCGAGTGATTTTCATGTTTTGTTCAGGGCAGGCGGCCGTGATTATGCAAAGTTGGGCCATCATGGGGCCTAGACGGGGCCAGGGTTAAAAAGTCGCGAAGCGGCTTTTCAACCCTGGTTTGTTTAATAAAAACTCGCTTATTTTCGCTGATCTCTCCGCGAGTTGTATTATTCGATATTGTCGATAGGGAAGAGCCGTGTTTCGGCTCTATTTTCTGGCCATTCGAAATTGCTGAGGAATCTGTGGCTGAGGAGGAGGATGGATCGGCTGATGGAGAACGGTGGCGTTGCTAAAAAAATGAGAAATAGAGAATAACAATAATTTGTAGTTTCGATTTAATCATTAGATCAAACTAAGCAAACATTAGATTAAATAAATTAAAATTTTGAACAAAAATGTTTGAAGTTTTGACATAAATAAAATGTGAATGTAAATGTTGGCTCGAATTTCAGAGAAAAGACTAAACAAACAGCATGTGGCTTGACTAAGAATTAGCAAAATTTTTCGTCTAGCAATTGAACTGAAACGCTGAAATTTAAATACAAAAATTTTATTTATTTATTGGGCGAAGTTATCAATTTAACAAATTTAATTGTAAGGGAAAGAAAGCAATGATAGCGGTTATAACCGTCAACCCAGTAAGAATTAAATAAAAATTTTTTTGAGATCTATCTTGAGATTGAACCGAAACACCCTTTAAAAATCAAGCATGAAAAAATATGTGTATGTTTTATTTTGATTTATTTCGGGGTTTAATTAATTATTTTCACTGAATTTCCAGCCCTAGGTAAAAACCAGACCAGTTTATTTTTCCATCATAAAATAAATCATTATGCCTGGGCCATTCCCTTTAAAATGTTGCTTCGAAGCATTTAATTGTACGTTTGGATCGGTTGATTTTATTGTCAAAAGCATATCCCACCTAGTAATAAACAACTTGATTTTTTTGGTGTTTACACTGAGGAAAAACATATTATTTATACGGCAAAATTGTTTCAAGATGCTCTCTCACTCTCTCGCTCTCTCTCACACTCTCCTTCTCCCTCCCTCCCTCTCTCTCTCTCCCTCTCCCTCCCTCCCCCTCTCTCTCTCTCTCTCTCTCTCTCTCTCTCGCCCTCTCTCTCTCTCTCTCTCTCTCTCTCTCTCTCTCTCTCTCTCTCTCTCTCTCTCTCTCTCTCTCTCTCTCTACCTCTCTCCCACCTCAGGCTCAATCAGCGTCGTCTGACCCTCGAATTCCTTGATAGCCCCGCATAGGGCCGTTGCCATCTTCTCAAAGTAAGCATTCGGAATTTTGTGACCCGAGTAGTGCGCCCCGAAGTCCCTGAAAAATCAAGATAAAAATTAAAATTAATGTTTTTTTAATTGTTAGCTAACAGCGACTTCTTAGGTTATTTTTCTCTTCTCCCCCTCCCCTACATCTCCGCGTATTTCGAAAAATATAAAATATAGAGATTTTTATAAAACTAAAATAATAATTGATTATAAATAATGTATTTTATTAAAATATTATAATATATAATACATAATGTTATATTATATTATAACTATAATTTATTTTTGATTATAAAATAATTTCGTTTCGTAAAAATCCAGGAGAAAATTTTTAGGGCAAATTTCTTAGCTGCATATCAAGGTTGATTCCGAATTATCTTCACGGATACAAGATGAAACACTAATTTTTTGCGCGATAATTTTTGTAGCTGATCGGCGCTTTCATTAACGTTTCTTTGGCATTAAAGGGGGGGGGGAGCCAGGAATTTTTTTGATTAAAAATATACATTTTCAACCAAAAATCCCGGTTTTTGACCAAAATCTTTTGCTAAATAGTTCATTCAATTTAAATGCGGTTAGATTTTGCTAGAAACTCCTATTAAATTAACCATGAAACTTGCGAAGTAGCCTGTTTTTTGAAACATTTTTTGCAAATCCGCCCGAGACTTCTTCTTTTTTGTATAGGGATTTTTCTCGAGATCCTTGATTTTCCCATTTTCCGGTCGTTCCAAATTCCGCAAAAAATCTCTGCTAGCCTGCCCCGGCTTACCGTAAGACATCACAGGCCGCCTGGGTGTCCCTCATCCGCCTCAGGCTCTCGCAGACCGCAGTGACGAAGCGCTGAAAAAAATATCATAAACTTTATTAACCAAATTTTCGGCTCTGAATTCCTCAAAGAATCTCTGCTAGCATGCCCGCAATCATGAAAATTAAAAATATATCTCGTGTCGATTTATGGATCAATTTTCCCGGCTGCAAAAAATATGTTTCGGAGTTAATGCAACTGCAAAATATTTTTTCATTTTTAGTCAGGTCAAAAAATCGGTAAGTCCCAACTTAAAAATTAACTAGAAATTCGTAATTTAGAAATCAAATTTTTTTTAATATTTTATGTTTCACATTTTCGTACAACCACGCAATTTTATTTTCAGCTAATTTTCTTCTCGTAAACTTTGCGAAATTCCCATTTCCCCAAAGTTTTTCTGCTAGCTCCCCCGAAAAATGGCTGAATTAAAAAATTAAAATTGCCCGAGTAAGAAGGCTATGCTTCAGATGTTATTAACAAATTTTCTTTTTTTTTTGCTGATCTACTCAAATATAGCTCAGAATTTCCAAGCTCGGCTTCGGATTTCCTCAAAGAATCACCGCTAGCCTGCTTCGCCTCGAGTTTCCGCAAATTTCATGTCACACGAAATGTCAAAAAATATCTGTTTCGTGTCTCCAAAATATCTAAAAAATCCGAATATCTTCATTCTGTGTCCGGTTTTTTGCTTCTTGCTGACTTTTGCGCGCATTCGTTGCTTTAAAATTTCGGGGTTATCCACGTGTGTTTCGACTCGACGTTTTAGCAGTTCGTGATTTAGGGGTGGATTAAAATTGGCACATTATGAAACGAGAAGTTGCGAAAATGTGTTGCAACTGTTCAAAAATCTCTTGATCGAAATAACTATTCACTCAAATTTGCTAGTTGACGCTTTTGTAAAATCAGCTGAAGTAAAATAAACTAAACTAAACTAAATAAATATAAATATTACTATTAATTATATTTTTTTTGTGGAAAAGTTGTGTTTCATGACCTTCTAAAATCCGATTTTTTAGAAATTCTCTCTCAATTCTATCGATGTTTCAGATTCTCGCCGCTTACTTGGCGCGTCTCGCGCATTAATCGGAGGTCGTAAAATGCCATATAAATTTTATCTATCCCTTTTTATGATGGGTTTTTAAGTGTTCTTTTCTGCACTTCCCTAACTGCCCGAATTCCCCATATCTTTAACGTGTCCCCGGGGTACGATCAATTCCTCTGGACACCACCCCCAAAAGCGAATTTTGCAAAGATCTCGAGAAATCGGCTCCCAATTCCCTGGTGCCGCCTAATAGGAGGCTATCAGCACTCGGAATGTTGAAAAATTGGGGATTTTGTGAGATTTGTCTTTTTTCGTGTTCAAAAAGAGCATGATTGAAAAATTATGAGACAAAAAAATTGAAAGCTTGCGGTTTTTTTTCAAATTTGTCATTTTTAGAGACGAACATAGGCTACAAAAACCTCGAATTTTAAAAAAATGTGAAACACGATTTTTCAAAAGCTAAATGCTGTTCATATTGCCAATTCGCGCAACAATTGATCATGAAGAAAACTTGAAACATTTAAATCCTCAAATCCCCATCAACGCTGAAATTTCGGAAACTTGCGATCTTTTGCTAGGACTTCAATTTTGAGCTAAAATGCACTGGGATTTTCACGAAATCTTATCTTTTGGCATGGCGTGAAACATTTAAATAGCAAGTTTAAAAAGCAACTGGATTGTGAAAAATTCAAGTTTTTCTCCTTCCAAATGACTGCGCAATAAACGAATTCGAAAAACTACATCTTTAGAAAAATATGAAACATTAACATCATCTATGTTGAAAGGCGATTTCTTTGAAAAAATGCCTTTTTAAGACAAAAAAGGCAAAAATCGAAAAATCGCCGAAGCCTATCGATATGGCCATTTCCTATGGTCGACCTCTCTAAGCCTAAGCCTAAGCCTAAGCCTAAGCCTAAGCCTAAGCCTAAGCCTAAGCCTAAGCCTAAGCCTAAGCCTAAGCCTAAGCCTAAGCCTAAGCCTAAGCCTAAGCCAAGCCTAAGCCTAAGCCTAAGCCAAGCCTAAGCCAAGCCTACCTGTGCATGAAGCCGGAAAACGATGGACTTCCGCCAATTCTCGCCTGCGGACAACCCGATGAAGGGAAGAAATGAGGGATTCTCCGTGAAGAGACCCTCGAAGACTTTTCTGAAAAATGCAAGTTTCATAAATATCCAATAAATATCCAAAAAATTAAGTGTGATGTCCACGAGGTAGGATGGATTAAAAATGGTGAAATAAATTTTGTATGCAGCCTATTAAAATTTAGGTATTTCGATGAAAGTTTAATTGCAGCAGTATAGTAGAATTTTGTAATTTGATTTAAAATTTGCAGCAAAAAATTTTAGAAAAATGTTTCAAATAAAATACAGCACTGGCTGCTTAATGCACTGGCAATAGAGGCGACATTTTTGTGCGAAAATTGCTAAAATTTGGGTGTGGAGTGGTGATCTAATTTTATATTTATTTTTAAATCCTTAAAACGACAAAAAACCTAGGCGTTTTCTCAATTAAATTTAGATACATTTAATCTAATGAACCCACTTTCCCATCTCGTACAACCTGGCGTTGTCCATTTTGTTCCATCTTTTCGCGAGGATCGTTTTCTAAAAGTATCAAAAGTAATTAGGATAAAAATATTTAATACAAGCATTTAAAACATGTGAAATCCGAATTTACGAAATTTTAAAGGACCATTGAAGGCAAAAGTCTGGATTTTTCAGGCTTTTCAAAATCCGAAAAAATCGCACCTGATGACTGCTCAACCCGGTGATCATGCAAAGCGGCCGGATGCGTTGCGTTCTGAATTTTTCGTTGATTTTTTATGACGCATTTTAAATAGAATAATTTTATTAAATTTAGATATTAAAATTAACCAAGCAAAAAGGGGAATTATCAACATCTGAATTGAATTTAATCGTCACCAAAACAATTTTTTGGATTTGAAACTTTGATGAAACATCATTTTTGACATCGCGAAGTTAACTGGGATTTTGCCTTTTAATTACATATTTTTGTGGATTTTAGAACCACTAAATGATTCGAATTCTTTTTAGTTTTAATAGCTCTCAAAACTCTTTTTGGGAAGCAGAATAACACAGTAATTATCTAAGCCATTTTTTCGAACTTTAACCTTTTATGAAACACGGATTTGTTCTGTCCTAAATCAATCGAATATTTTAGAGTGCCGCATCTATATTTTTAACGAGTTTTTGGAATGCTTTTCACATAAAAATACATTTTTTTACCACAGTTTAATTTATAGAGTGCCAGGATATCAGAAAAGTTTTTTTCAAAGTGGAATTATCGGAGTCTAGGGGTATTGCCAGCAAAAAATTTTCCCAAACTTTGAAATTTCATGAAACATCTTCTTTATGTCCGAAAGCTGTAGTGGAATCGAAGGATCTGCCGGTTGCTTTAGAAGACAGTTCTCAGAAAAAGGTACGATATTTCCATTCATTTTTAATTTAATATTTCCTAGTCCTAATAGCTGTTAAGGATTTTCGGCAAGTTGAATTACACTGGTGCGCAAGAATTGCCCGCCTAAAAATTCTCGCGATCTTTGAAATTGTATGAACATAATTTTTTTCTTGTTAAAATCGTTAAATTGTTAAAAACGCTTTTAAAAGTCGCAGCAAGTCTTTTCTTAAGTGAAATTTTACAAAAAAATAGGGAATTTTCTATTAAGGAACACTGCTTTCCGTGTTCCGTAATAACAAACAACGGCCTGCCATTAAGTCCGATCGATTTTCTCTGACTCCCTGAATTCTCGAAACATATTTAGTGTCAAAAAAATTGCAACTTTTAGATGCTTGATTTAAAGCGTTTTTCAATTTTTAAGCATTTTTAGAGCTTAATTTTAAATAAACTCTTTAAACTACGTTTTATTAATTTTTTGTAACGCCGCAAAAATTATAGGAATAGGGCAAATACCTTTCCCTTTTTAGCATTTTTTGGACAGTCAGAAAAACGAGCACATCTTCGACTTTCAGAATTCACGAGTTTTGATATTTTCCGAAACACAATTTTCGATCCCGAAAACTTGCCGATCTTTGACCCGGCACGTCTTGCTGCGCCGAATCAGCGGCTGCTCCGCCCGGATGGCCCCGTTTTGATTGCGGCTGAAAAAGATGTGTTTCATATAAATAAACTTTAAAAATTTATGATTGAACTTTATTCATTCATGAATTTCATACTTAAAAATTTAATTTTGATTGATTTTTATTGGCAAATTATTCTTAGAACCAGCGCTCAAAACCCGCTTCGCGGGTCTTGCGCGGGAATACGGCCTTTGCATGAAAAATTTGACTTCCCGATAGCTCGGGTCCTTCGGACCCCTTCCCCCCACCGACCACACACGCGAATGCAACTGGCAAGAATGAGGAAATTTGTATTTTTCCGCATTATGCAAATTAGCCCTCAGGGACCCCCAAAAATGAATAAAACCGGCTTTAACTTTGTAAACTTGTACTTTATCGTAATTCTGAAAACGCCATCGGAAACAGGAGGGGCGATTCCCCCGGGTGACGGAGAATTAGGGCATTTTATGCACGGGAAGGCCCTCAAATCGGGCCTCGAAAGTGACATCCACATACACACACACACATACGCGCCAAAATTATATAAGGTAGGATTTAGGATCATAATTTTTTACATAAAATCCTGAAATAGAAAAATTCTAGCGATAAATTTGGTACTGTACTGTTAGCGAGGGGGGTTTTTCCAGAACCCAAAACTAAGCGAAAACAACGAAAAAATATTCCCCCCCCCCCGTAACAGCGCAGTACCACCAACGTCCTATTTTCCTACCGTAAGCTGTTGCTCCGCTTCTGGGAACTCGGGGACGGCGAGCGGCTTTTTCGTTGTGAGGAGCGTCGGCTAAAAATTGATACTTAGAAATATACAATATATATAATTAGGTTTTTCTTTGGTCTTGATTTTCAATATTTTTTGAAAAATTACATGTTTCAAAATTTGGTTAAAAAATATAGGTCCGAACACTTGTAATTTTTCGGATTGGGGTTGTCTACAATAATTTGAAGCTAGGTTTTTCTATTCTAAAATTACCCTGAATCTTCAGACGGATTTTACTATTTTTAATGTTTCAGAAAAATTTGTTTAAAATAAAAAATGTTTTTGAGCAATCTAGGAACTTCGTATTCTTCAAAAATTCACCAAAAAACTGAATAATTTCGAAAACTAATACAAGGCTGATCAGCTTTGCACTTACATATTTTGCAAAATTTTTGAATGTATTAATAAAAAAACTATGAAAATATAGAATTTAATTCTTTAATTTAAACGTTTTAAATCACCTCAACGACCCGTCGGCGGCCGACTCGATATTGCCCATCGATTTTCGATCGTTCTGTTGGTGTCGAGGATTACTGTAAAAATAAAATAAATAAAATAGCAGTATGATAAAAAATAAATCAAAATAGAAAGAAAAAATGGTGGAGTTCACATTAAGCCACTAAAATACCATGGATACTGTAATTTTCATAAAACATGTTTTTCAAAGATATTTAATTTTAATTTTCTGTCCGTTAGCTCGTCAGTGTTATGCGAAAGTGGAATATTAACCATGGAGAAACGGTAGAAATTTAAATAAAGAAATTTTAGGTCTTATCGATATCGAGTCACTCAAAAAACCATTGATACTGGAATTTTGATAAAACATGTTTTTGCAAAAATTTGTCTTAAGTGGCCTCCTATTTTTTGACTGCCTTTCCGGCATTAAAAGCTGAATATTAATACAGGAAACTAAATTGAAAGTGAATTTCGAAAAAGCAAAGTTCCAGTCAAATGCCGGTCCGGTTGACATTAATTCACTCAAAAACCATTGTCAGTGGAATTTTGATAAAACATGTTTTTCCTTGTGAATTGTCTATTGTTACGTTTGGCATTTTGTCTTTTATCTTAATCTATTTCGGGATTAAACAAACAAAATTTATTCCGGAAATAAATCGGAATTGAAATAAGGCTGATTTGTGTCTGGATAATCATAATTCAGACCATGCAGTAGGATATCCCGGATGCCCATTAAGCCACTCAAAAACCAGCAAAACTGTAATTTTGATAAAACACGTCTTTTCCGAATTTTCTACATTTTTATGATTTATGATTTTCTGATTTTTGCTTTTTTCTGTGCACTAAATACAGTATAGGGAAAAATTTGGGTAAAAGTATGGAATCAGCGGTATTAGCTATCAACAAAATCTACAAATTTGATTTGGCAACTTTACAAGTCGATAAAACATTTTTTTTTGTTAAAAACACAATTTAAAAACAAAATTTTGTGTTGATTTGTTAAATTCCGTATTTTTCATAGGTTCGTCTTAAAAGATTATATCTAATTTTGTTCTTTTTAATTCCACCATTAAAAGTAACTAAAAATTGTAAGAATTTTTCAAAAATTCAGGATCCCAAAATCTCGAAACGACCTGGAACTAACCAAAACTGAAAAATTTTTGCCTGGAAGATAGCTAAAACATTTATTTTTCTCGCCTTGGCACAGAAAATTTGTAGCTGACATCCCTGCGTAGATGATTTAATAAAATAGCAAAATTTAACTATATTTCAGCTAGCAAACCTTTTTAAAAACTTTAAAAAAATTAGAAATCGACATTTTGGTCAAAATCGCCCATAACGAAAAATCGATATTTTTTGTATTTTTAATCAAAGTTTTGGAAAAAATTTTGGATTCAGGGCTAGCAAAAACAATTTAAAACAGTTTATCTATTTAGAAACTTGGAAGTTAAGAAAAATTTGCTCCCCCGATATCGTACAAGAACCCATCCAAAAATTCGGAAAAATCCAGAACATTGTCGGCATTTTGCCACAAGCCACGCCCCCTTTTCGGGGAGTGTCCCATAAAAATTCTGAGAATTTTTGAGGCGTGGCCGGCGGCGGGACGGGCGGCCGGAATGCGGTCGACTGCCCTTTCTCGGCTTCACACACGATTTGGCGCATTAAAAAAAGAAGAAAAAAAAGAGAGAATTCTCGCCCCACCCTCTAGGCCCGGAGTCGAAACATGCCAACAGGAAAGAATCGGAATCGGAAATGGAGCGGACTTTTTTGTTGAACATTTTCCCTGGGCTTGGAGCCAACCGGGAAATGGAAAACTGAGATATTTGGCCCCGGAAATGACGAAAAGTCTGCAGGCTAGCAGAAATTCTTTGAGAAATTCGAGAAAATCGACAGAGTTTTTTAATGATGTGTTTCCTGGAAATCCAAAGGACGCTTCGAAAAAGTCGCGATAGTACCGAGTCGTCTTCAAGATGATTTGTTTCACAACATTTCAAAAACCCAAAAAATCCTAATCCGAGAATGAGCAATTTCATCCGACGCATTAGAAAAACAGATGATCCCCGCCCCACCCCTAGAACCCCGCCGACAGGAAAGAATCGGAATCGGAAATGGAGCACATTTTTTTTGTCGAATATTTTCCCTGGGGTCGGAGCCAACCGGGAAGTGAAAAAATGGCGTAATATTTGGCCCGGGAAATGACGAGAAACAAGGCAGGCTAGCAGGGATTCTTTGAGGACTTCGAGAAAAGCGTTCGAGGCTTTTTAAATTTATGTGTTTCTCTGAAATCCAAAGGAAACTTCAAAAATGTGGCGGTAGTACGAACCTGCCTTGCTCTAGTCTATATTCTGCAAAACTGGAATGGTAAATAATCAATTTTTATTGCGAAAATTTTTTCATTTAATTATTAACTAAAAAACAAAAATCATGGATCAATTCCTTCCAGATCCCAATTGACACAAAAATTCTAGTTTCAAAGATTCGGGGTACCGCATTAAATCCTCAATTTTATTGTCAAGTCTCGACTTACTTTAAAAATTTGTCAGACATTTATTTCGGAATTTCGGCAGGCTAGCAGAGATTTTTTGGGGAATTCGTTTGGCCGCCCAACTTAGAATTATGTGTTTTACGACGATTCAAAGACCAAAAAAAAATTTATTTTGATAATTTGACGATTTCCAACAACTCGAAACGGCGATTCGGGGGATTAAAAAAACGCTAAAACCGCTGATAAAACAGGTGTTTCTTATGTTATATTTTTATTGGCTTCGTTGGTCTAATGACACCGAAAAATTTCGATTACCCAATTCAATCCACAAAATTTCAATTTGCATGTTTCACAAAAATTAGTAGGAAAGCTCGCGTGTTCAATTGTAATATCTTAGCGAGTAGAAACGGATTCCCATTAATTTTCTTGATGCCAAGCGACCTGTCGCGCTTTCCTTTAAAAAGGCAGGCTAGCAGTGAGCATTTGGGTGCTTCGATTTTCCGTTGAAAATCTATGTTTCACCTCAAAAACGCAGCAAGTTTGGTTTTGTCGGATTAATACGCGCTTGGCTCGAGAAGAATAAAAATTGGCAAAAGCCTGATAACTGCATGATGGTAGATTAAATGCATTAAAATTACAGGAATGTAATTAATAAAACGAACAAGCTTGAATTTTACTCAAAAAATTTTTCACAAAATTTTAGTTTCCATGTTTCACAAAAATCAGTACGAAGGCGGGGTCATGAATTTTAGCCAACTTCGCTAGCAAATCTCCATGTTAAATGAGCTGGCAGAGGGAATTTGCGGAAATCGATTAATTTTCGGGATGCCAACACGACCAGTCGCATTCCCCTTAAAAAGGCAGGCTAGCAGAGATCCTTTGGGAGTTTCGGTTTTCTGGTGAAAAACTGTGTTTCGCTCCAAAAACGGAACCAGTTGGGTAGTTTCAAGTCAATATTTTCTCATAAGCAATAAGAACCTATAAATTCGAAATTTCCAAAAATTTGACATTATGAACTAGGGAAGTTTGTTAATTAGGAAAGTATCTTAGAAAAGGGTATTTGAAGCGATTTAACAATAATCTGAGTGGTTCACTATCGTAAAACTCGGCTTTATAAAGGCTAAGAAGCCCCCAAAATTTGGCTCAAATTTCGCCCGTAAAAATTGAAAGTAAACGAAAATAGGTGCTGAGTCAGCCGAGCGGAGAGAGAGAGAGAGAGTGAGAGAGCGCGAGAGAGAACGGGCGAGAGCGAGAGAGCCAGGAGGGACGTGAGAGCGAGAGTGTGAGAGAGACAGAGAAAGTCAAAGAGCGAGAGAGAGAGAGAGAGAGAGAGAGAGAGAGAGAGAGAGAGAGAGAGAGAGAGAGAGAGAGAGAGAGAGAGAACGAGAGAGAGCGAGAGAGAGAAGAGAAAGAGAGACAGAGAGATAGAAGAGAGAGAGACAGAGAGCGAGAGAGAGAGAGAGAGAAAGAGAGAGAGAGAGAGTGAGAGAGGGTGAGAGAGCGTGAGAGAGAGCGTGAGAGAGAAAGCACGAGAGATCAGACCCTTAAATTTCAAGTTTTCCGTAAAAATTAATAGACGCGACAAATTCTTTAGAAACAATAAGATCGAGCAGCAGTTTTCGCGTCAGAAAAATGGCAATTTTCAATCCGTGTCAGGCCGGCAGGGGCTTTTAGGGAATTTTGAGAAGCTCGGCAATCGTGCAGAGATCATTTGAGAGCAGATTTCCGGGATAAAAAACTAGAAAAAATGTGTTTTGCAAAACCCAAAGGTGTCATGATTAGATGAGCCAACAATGTTTAGAAGGTAGTTGGGAATTTTTTATAATGCTGAGCTGTGGTCATCACTTTTTTAGCTTAAATTGCAAAATTGTGGTAAAAGACGCTAGCAAAGATCATTTGGGAAAAACATCTTTTCTGGAAACGACCTAAAGAATTAATGTGTTTCACCAACATACAGAAATTGCGGCCAGATTTCTCCGATAGTAAGGGTGTCGTATTTGCGTGAATTATGGCAGCAAGGTAGGCACAATTTTTGGAAACTTTTGCAACTTTTTTGTGCTGTCCCAACCCCTTAAAGTGTTTAAATTGGAAAATTATAGAGGAAGCCAGCCCAAACCCTTTTGGGCAGGCCAATTAATCACGAAAACCAAGAAAAAAAAAACATCATGTTTCACTAAAACGCAAGGTGCGGGCGATTGGCGGTTCGAACAGTTCTTTGTTCTTGTTAGTGCTCGATTTTTTAAGGAGGGTTGTCAGCTAGCAGAGATTATTTGGGGAAATTTGTGATATTACTGGGCTGTCGTCATCCCTTTACTAGTTTAAATCGTAAAATTGTGGTCAAAATAATTGGATAAAAACATCTTTCGTGGGAAGGCGCGTAAAAATGAATGTGTTTCGCTAAAAAGTACAAATCGCGCCCGGTGGCCTCCGATAATCCAATCCAGGCAAAGGACGTCACAGTAAATTCCGGACCCAAGGCTCTATAAAAATTTGTCTAAATTTTAAGGCTGTCCGAACCCCTTTAAATTTCTTAACTTACAAAATTGCGGACCGGTAGA